GAGCATCTGCTCATATTTGTTGCTCAAAGTCTATGTTTTCATCCATCTCCCGCATTACGCCTGGGTTTATCAGTTTGCCAAATCAATTACGGTTTTTAGGGGAGTTCAGTGGTTCTTCTCGGGTTATGGATGGTGTTATTCTACATGATTTTTATATACCACAGTTAAGCTACAATCTGCTTTAGATCAGTGTTTTGACCAAGGATATGGATCATATGTGTTACTTTTTCTAATGATTGTTGCCTTATTCCGGACAAGTTCACTTTGAGGACGATTGGCAAGGGCCTAGGAAGCACGGACACTCCATTTTAAGCGGGGTGTCCGTATCGGATGCGTATCAGACACCGATACGTCTGGACACGCTTCGGACTAGTGTCTGACACACCATTTGGCGTGCCCAATTTTTTTTTTTTTAATTATGGACACGCCCCGGACACGCAGGGACACGTCCGGATACTTGAGGAGGAACACGGGACATGGCCCAACAGTCCTGGGCCCAAATTTTTTTTAATAAAAAAATTGAAAAACAAAAAGAAAACTTAAAAGAAGACAAAACCCTAAATCGTTCTCTTCTTTGTTTTACGTTTTCTTTCCTTCTACCTTCCACACCAAATCAACAAAACCCTACCATCCTCTCTGCTGCCACCAACGTCGTGGTTAATTATATATTTTGATTTGTTTTTATGTTAAGTATATTTTGATTTGTTTTGTTCAATTTGTGTGGTTAATTAATGCAAAAGTATTACTATAATCAATTCATATGCATATATTATCTAAAAAAATAAAAACATAATGTGTCCCCAACGTGTCCGTGTCCTATGTTTTTAGAAATTGGCATATCGCCGTGTCCATGTCGTGTCCATGTCCGTGTCCGTGCTTCTTAGGCAAGGGTAATGTGCGTCATGGATTGTATTTCCTTGGGTCGACAACTGGTGATACTGATTCAATCTCTCCCACTTACCATATGTCTTTTAGTGTGCATAAACCATCCTTTGATGTTTGGCATAGCCGTTTTGGCCATCCATCCTTTAAACACATTCATGCTTTGAGAAAGTCTTTGTATCTTGATGATGTTAGCTGCAAGGATCATTTTTGTTCTACTTGCCCTTTAGCAAAAGAGAAAAGATTGTCATTTGATTCTCATAATAATATCACTGATATGCCTTTTGCATTGATACATGCTAATATTTGGGGTCCATATGCACATCCTACATATAATGGCTATAGATATTTCCTCACCATAGTTGATGATTGTACCCGTTTTACTTGGATTTTTTTGTTGAGGAATAAGTCTGATGTAGCTGCTGTTGTGCCTCAATTTTTTGCTTATGCTGAGAATCAATTCCATGCTCATATTAAAGTTTTTTCGCTCCGATAATGCACCCGAATTGCTGTTCACGGATTTTTTTAAGACTAAAGGGGTTGTTCATCAGTTTTTATGTGTTGGTCGCCTTGAAGAAAACTCAATTGTTGAGTGCAAGCACCAACACATCCTCAATGTTGCCCGAGCTCTCTATTTCAGTCTAGGGTGCCATCAATTTTTGGGGAGAATGCATTTTAACGGCTGTGTTTCCTATTAACAGAACCCTATCACCCATCTTACAATGGCATATCCCTTTTCAGTCTCTCTATGGGCATGAACCTGATTACTCTTCACTTCGGGTCTTTGGTTCTCTATGTTTTGCCTCTACCTTGTCTGCTCATCGCACAAAGTTTGACCCTCGGTCCTCAACTGCTGTTTTTGTTGGTTATCCACCAGGGATGAAGGGATATAGGTTCTATGACTTGAAGACAATCTTTTTATGTCTCTCGAGATGTAGTGTTTCATGAAAATCGATTCCCTTTTAATGATATTTCTACTTCTCCGTTAATTGATCCATTTCCACATGTTGTCCTTCCTATTGTTAGTGACTTTTCAGCTTACTTGCTTACTCCGTATAATTATCCTCATGTGCCAACTGCTAATGATGCTATGTCTCAAACTAATATTGGGTTGTCTGATGCTAGTCCTGATTTACAAAATAATGAACCAAGTGTTGCTCCTACTGATACATCTCATACTGATATATCTCAGGATCCACCTACTGATGTGCACAGTTCTGATGATATCATTGATGATTCAAGGGCTTCTATTCTTGGACCACTGCAACCCTCTGTAATTCCAGAATCTGTACCTCTTTCCACTGATCAAGGTACATCAGTTGCCATTCCACCACCTTTACGAAGGTCCCTTCGAGCTTCTAAGGCTCCTTTCTTATCTCAAGGACTATCACTGTGCTCTCTTTTAAATGGTGATTCTTTGCCCACTTGGTTTACTAAACATCCTATTCAGCATCATGTTTCTTATTCCAGATTATCATCTTCTCATTATTCTCTGGCCGCCAGTATCTCTTCCACTGAGGAACCACAGTTTTATCAACATTGGCGTGATGCTATTACTGTTGAACTTTCGGCCATGGAGTCTAATAAAACTTGGTCCGTTGTTCTACTTCCAGCTAGTCATCATACTGTTGGATGTAAATAGATTTACAAAATTAAACATAATTCTGATGGTTTCATCGAGCGTTACAAAGCACAATTGGTTGCAAAGGGGTATACTCAGCTAGACGGCCTTGATTTTATGGAGACATTCTCTCCAGTTGCAAAATTAGTTACAAACTAAATTTCTAAACTAAAATTAGTTACAAAGTTTAATCTAAATTATATTAAGTAATTTATTAACATTTTTTTATGAATTTTGTATGATTATTATTTTACAGGGTTATATAATTTAGAATACATTATATTTTACATGTTTCAATTTTAACAAGCATAAAATGAGTTTATAATATGAAGTAATATATTTTATCAAAGTTTTTATCTTTTTAATGTAATTCTGCATCTTAAAAATTTCAAATTCTGAATCTGAAAACACTGAAAACATAAAAAAGTCGTTTTCAAAATTTCTACTGTTTGAATCACAGAATCCGAAAACAGTTTTAAAAAACGAAACTCAAAAATTCTGCCAAACACTCATTTGATTCAGTGAATCTGAAAACAAAAACAGAATCCGAGTTTCCAACCAAACGGGCCCTTAATGATTTGAAATGTCTTCTTGACCAGACTTTTAAGCTGAAAGATCTCGACCAACTTAAGTATTTTCTTGGCCTTGAGCTAGCACGGTCATCTCGTGGTATTTCTTTATCTCAGAGGCATTATACACTCTCTTTATTAGAAGATCGTGGTATTTCTTTATCTCAGAGGCATTATACACTCTCTTTATTAGAAGATACTGGATTATTGGGATGCAAGTCTGTGGCTGTTCCCATGGATCCTTCTACTCACCTTCGAAATACTGATCTTGATGATCCTTCTGTTTTTAGAAGACTTGTTAGTCGTCTTCTCTATCTGACAATATCTCGGCTTGATATCACGTATGTCGTTCACAAGTTAAGTTAGTTTGTTTCCCAACCTAGCAAAGCTCATCTTCATGCTATATGTTATCTGCTTCGCTATTTGAAAAATGCCCCAGGTCGTGGAATCTTTTTGGCTACTTCTTCTTTTCAATTGAAATCATTCTCTAATTGCAGATTGGGATCGTGTCTTGATACTCAGCGTTGTACCACTGGGTTCTGTGTTTTCTTAGGTGATTCCTTGGTGTCTTGGAAGGCAAAAAAGCATACCACAATTTCTCGATCCTCTGTTGAAGCCGAGTACGGAGCGTTGGCAGCTACAACTTGTGAACTTATTTGGTTAACCAATTTGCTACATGAGTGCAGGTTCCTATATCATGATATCATCTCCTGCACTTTTATATTGTGATAATGCGCAGTCATCCACATTGCTACTAACCCGAGTTTTCATGAGCGTACCAAGCACATAGAGCTTGATTGACATTTCGTTCGGGAGAAATCTCGTGTTATTCGGCTTCTACCTATTCGTTCGCACCTACAACTAGCTGATGTTTTTACAAAAGCCTTGCCTGCTGTCACGCTTAACTCTCTGCTATGCAAGATGGGTCTCTTGATGTTTTTTCCCCATCTTGAGGGGGGAGTATGAGTGTATTAATATTATCTTAGTTAGTTGTATGGTTAGATAGTTAAGTTGTTATTTTGTCACATTATTTAAGTGACACCTGTGTGGTGTGTATATATGGACAGTTGTTCCTCTATTACATTTAATGAGAATGAGCAATTCGTCCTATTCAGTCTTATTAGTGTCCTATAAGAGTTGCCTCAAGGAGAAGTTGGGGGTCATTTGGCAACGCTTGATTGATTGATTTCATTTCTTTTTTGGCTCTAACATGGTGTAAAAATGTCTCTCCTTTTAGCAATTATAGCTTGAAGTCTCTTATATCCATTTGGAGAAGATTTTTTAACTTCATTGTATAGGTTTTGATCATTTTGTATAATTTCATATCATCAATGAAAATTGTTTCCTATCAAAAGAGAAAAATTAAAGAAAGTAGCATATTGTTGGGCTGTAGGAGGAGAGGAAAAGAACAAAGTACAGCCAACATTGTGCTTAAGAAATTTATAAGAAACAAAACTTTTCTTCTCTATGTAAATAATGTACAAGAACTCCAAAGGAGCTTAAAAAACACTCCAATATAAAGCAACATTAGGAGAATAATAACAAAACTCCCCTGAGCAAGAGCTCCAAGAGGAGGCTATGGCGAACTATATATTGTTAGTGGTATCTATTTTCAAGTTATAGTTATTGTTTCCAATTTGTATTTGGAGAGGAAAGCTTTGAAATAACGTTTTTATGTTGGTATGTGGTGTGGTCATGGGATGAAAATTGGTGCTAAATTATTGTGGAAAAATATAGTCAAAGAAGCCTCATTAGTCAAGAATATATTAGAGTTCAAGAAGCTATTAGATATAAAATTGAAAGTTTAGGAGCTTGTTAGACATTTATTAAAGTTTAAAAACTTATTATTATACACAACCTTCTTGAATGATTATTATTTCAAAATAAATGAAAGAATAAGTAGGAAATAAATTAAATAAATAACTTGCCTCCTCCAGCGAAGCATTTCCAGCTCTCTCACCAATGCCATTAATTGTGACCTCAACTTGCCTTGCACCTGCACATGCTCCCTGAAAAAAGATGAGAGGAATCAAACATAATTTACTTAAGGAAATAGATGAAGTCGTAACAGCATTTAGATAGGTCATAGGTGGAAGAGTGATTTATAGTTCACACTAAAATCCCTTAGCAATTCGCCAAATTTCCAGGAGCGGCTGAAGAAGTTTGTCCTCCACAAGTACAACTTTTGTACTTCGAGGGACAAAGATCAAGCCACAAAATGTATATCTTATCCCTTCTTCATAATTTAAGATGCAAACTCTTGAGCATATAAATCCTTAAAATATGACCATAACTATAGGTATATATTCCAACGATGCAGCCTCATCATTTTCACGTCTTGTTTTTTTTTATATTTTTCCTTTTCTTTCTTAGTGTTATAGTATGATATTTGTAATCCTTTTTACTTTCCTACTATCTTCGGGTAGTTCCAAATTAAACGTCCAGTTCAATCAACAGGATTAAAAGGGAAGAAAAAGGCATTACTTACTGCTACTGTGTTGGCAGTTGCGAGTCCAAGATCATTCTGGCAGTGTGTCGAAATGATAACATTTTCAATGCCAGGCGTATTAGTTTTTATATCAGCAATCAACGCCCCAAATTCAACCGGCATGGTATAACCCACAGTATCTGGTATGTTGAGAGTAGTTGCCCCAGCCTTTATAACTTCACCCAGAATTTCGTAAAGAAACTCCCTATCAGATCTGATAGGACGCCAGAAAATAAAAAAGGCAAATATTTATATGTGCGAGAATTTAGAATTTGAAAAGTTGCAAATATAAATTTGTAATGTCTAGCAGAAAAATAAATATTTTATCTTCATTATTTTACAAGATACATATCGTTCATGAACAGCAACAGATAAATAGGGCATTAAATATATAGGCAACCTGTACAAGTTAGATAACAACCATACATAGGGTCTAAGCATTGTCCCATTAAATTAATTGTATTAATCCAGCCAACAAAAAGGCCAAAACTAGTTAAAGGTTTGTTAACCACACTAGCCTATGTAAACCCAAATTATATAAATCAAAATTGTGAAACCCCCAACTTTTACAAATCAAAAAACAAAAAACAAACAAACTACACCAATTCAAGATTTTTCATATCCTATTAATTTTCATATCCTTTAGATCACCTTTTCTTTCATTATTCTTTTGCTAAAAGGGGGTGGCAGTTTTTGTTCGATGTATTCCCTATTTCTACTTGCTTGCCTGAGATGATTGATGATTGGTTGACAGAATGTACTCAAGGACGGAGCTTCAGCGGTAAATGCAAAGAGTTATGGGGCCGTGCTTTTAGAGCTCTCTGATGCCACTTATGGCTGGAAAAGGAACCGTGTTCATATTATGACATCTTGGTAGTGTTATAGGAACAAGTAATTACAGCCTCTCTAAGATCATACCAGATTGGAGAGCCCTTCTCTTTTAGTGTTCTTTAGGGAAAGGGACGTCCCTTGTCCTAGTTCGTTTTTTGGTTTTCCTTCTTAATGAAATGTTTCTTATCTAAAAAAAAAACAAATTCACATTTTACAACTTCAGGCTTCATAAACCTAAACTGATTAACGACTTGATGCAAACATCAATAATGATTGAGAGGTTTTGAACTTCCAAGGAGCATGCAAAGTCAGCTTACTCTTTCGTTTGCATAAATTAGATGAAACCAAATTTGAAATTTTAAAAAGTGGAGATCAAGGTCAAACCTCCCAGCATCCTCGGGGCTGAACTCAACATCATCACAGCCCAAACTTCGTGCAAACCGCACCATACTTCGAGCAATCTCAATCACTTCCTCCCTCGTCTTCCTCAGCTTATACTTCATATGAATTTCGCTAGTTGCAATAAACGTATGTATCCGCGGTCTCTTAGCGTACTTCACGGCCTCCCATGCAGTTCGAATATCCTTCTCATTGCACCTCGAGAGACCACAAATTACAGGCACGTACCCGTCCTGGTCGACAACATTTCCCACCTCTTTGGCAATGATCTTCACAGCCTCAAAGTCTTCCTTCGAAGCAGCTGGGAATCCAGCCTCAATTATGTCCACGCCGAGCTTGGCGAGCTGACGAGCAATATCCAGCTTCTCTTTAGAGGTGAGGGACGCACCTGGGGACTGCTCGCCATCGCGGAGAGTCGTATCAAAAATGCGAACATAGGAAGGGTCAGGGATGCGATTGGGGATGTACGGCGGGCGTTGAACAGATGAATTCGGTTTGGAATCGGAAGCTATGCTTATGCTCTGTGCCTCACTACAACAAACACGGCCCGCCGGCGACCTAAATGACGACGGATTCTGCAAGTTCCGACGATAAATGTGACCGCTGGTAGGAAATTGCGAGTTCCATTGCCGACCAAAACAGTGATTCGGGCTTGAAAATGCTGTCGCCATGGCCATCTTAAACACAACAACAGCAACCTCGCCGAGAGAAAGCAGGAAAAAGAACTCACAGAAGAAATTTTCTCCTCCTCTTTCGCATTCACGGCGGCTAAGCTAATATAGGGTTGCCAAATTTTACTTAATTTCTTTCCTTTCTATGGAGCCCAACTGCACTTGGGGAAATGGACTCAATTGACCTGAAAAAGTTTCCATTTTGCTCAAATTACCTAAATTATAAAAATTGACTCAACTGACTCAGTTTTAACTTTTCTGACATTTCAGAGAGTATGCAATTACGAATATACCCCCAAATGAATTGAACTATAACAAATCTGGCACAGAATCACCTAGGTTGGTGTAATTAAAACCATGGGCGAGTACCACTTGATTCATGGCCATGAATTTATTAAAATACCACCAACTTAATAATTCCCCACCAAATTTTTGTACTATCATTTATTATATACCCACACATTCCCACCGAGTGTAGAGAATAAAAGTATGTTTCAGTCCGTATTGTCCAGAAGCACATCTTTCACGTGGTTTTGAAGAACTTCCATACCTTTTCCAACATTTTTCACATCTTGAATCCATCAAAGGAAGTCAATTTTTCATCTCTGACACTTTGAACGAGGTTAGTTTTTTATTGGTTCATAATATTGTTTTCGATTCGTCTAGAATATGATGTATTTAGTTAGAGTAAATGAAATTTCTGAATTTTTGTCAGTATTTTTGTGGGTAAAAGAAGTTACGTAAGTCAATGATTCATGGCCGTGTTTATTCGTTTAATGGCCGTGGTCAATGGTTTTATGATTAACGGCCGTGGTTTTAGGTCGATTGCATACAGATAACCTTGATCGGCTGACGACCATGGTCCATTTTATAAACCTGAAATACAAATACATTATTCAGCAAGCCAGAACCCAAACAAAGAAAGGAACAAATGAAAGGAATGGATGAAAACCCAAACATAGAAAGGAACATATGAAAACCCAAAAACAACATAATCTGTCCAAATTCATGGGCTTACCCTGGCCTAGGTAGTGCAAATTCAAGAAGGATATTGATTCTGTCAAATTTCAAGGTCACGACCATGGCCGTGGTACGACGGTGAATTTGGACAGAACCAATGCCGTGGTACTCTTTTTCATGGCCGTGGTCAAGCAATCATTTTAACCACGCCCATGAAATTTGCGTTGAACCACGGCCGTTAACGCGCCCATTAAACCTTCCTTTTTCCACTGTAGAAAACCCACACAACAATAACAAACGCAGCAAAAAACGTTCAGCCCACACAAACCCACGCAAACACAACCGAAAACAGAAACCTCGAAGCCCTAAATCAAAATTTCAACCACAAACGTAAATCATAAACAAAAAACGCCGATTTCGAGCCCTACAAGTACCGAAAATACTAAATAGGCTGCCATGGAAGGAATTAATGGACGAATAACGAAAAAAATCGCAAATATAAGTAAAAAAAATTATTTTCTTCCCATAAAAGAGACGCAAATACGAAATAAAATGTTCTAACATCAAAGTTTCGGATATGGAAAGCGATTCGGAGCACGATATTGACTAGTAGAGAGTGAAACAGAGGAAATTGAGGGAGTGTAAATCGAATGGGCGAAAACGAAAACGAAAACGGAAGAACAAAAAAGAAGATGGAATGAGAGATACGAACAGTTTGAATTTGAACTGAAGGGTATAATGGTCATTAAATTAACGGCCGTGGCACTCTTTTTCATGGTCGTGGTCAAGCAAACAATTTAACCACGGTCCAACCTAGCCCATTAGTTGTCTTTCATGAATACCACGGTCGTGGTACTAGTTTTCACGGCCGTGGTCAAGCATTCATTTTAACCACGGTCCAACCTAGCCCATTAGTTGCCTTTCATTAACACCACGGCCGAGGTCCTATAGTTCACGGTCGTGGTGAAGCAAAAAATTTGTGTTACTTTTCTACTAACCAAGGTCGAACTAACAATAACCACGATCAAAACCACGGTCGAACCTGCCCATTAATTTCCTTTCGTGTTAATTCGTTTGCGACTTCACTTACATTCCAGATTGAGGCTAAAATAGTAATTTAATCCTTCAATATTCTATTAAAAATATTAAATTGGGTCAGTTGAGTCAAATTTTTTAATTGAGGTCAGTTGAGCAAACAACAAACTTTTTTAGGTTATCCATGCCAATTTCCCCAGTTGGTATTTGTTGTTTTTAATTAAAAAAAAAAGGGTAAATGGTATAAATCACTTGAAGTATCACATACTTCTTGCGATTACACCCACAAACTTTCCATGATAAAAATTGAACCCTTCCACTTTTAAAAGTGAAAAAATTGAACCGATCAATTTCAATTTTAAAAAATTAAACTAAACTTTCTCATAAATGAAAAAATAAAATTTATTTCCTCTCTCTCTCCTTGTTGTCGTCCTCTCTACTTACTCTCTCTAGAAAACTGGTTGGTTTCTTCTTTCACTCTCTACAATCTCTATCTACCTCCACCACATATTCTTCAACGAAGACGGCAAGAGAGCGTAAGCTAGTTCCTCCGTTTTGAAAAAAAACCTCAGTTTCTCAATCGAAGAGAGCATAAACTCTAGCTCCTCCGATTTTTCTATATTGTTTAGAACTTTCTTCCTCTCCAGCTTCTTGAACACGTCCCCAGAGCTCTCGTAGAAAATTTCAGCTCTAAACCCTTTCTTCTTCCAACAGAGCGGTTGTACTTACTCACCCTTTAAAAGAAAGAAGGAGATTTGTAATGGGTAGCATATAAGTTTTCTATATTTAACAAAATAGCATGCCTATAGCATTTTTTTGAAAATCCTAATTTTAAAATTTTCAGTATTCCCAAATTACCCTTTTCAGTTATCGCTTCGTTATTATATATCAAACATATATCACATATATATCAGGAGTATATCTGACAACATTAGTATATCAGAAGTAAATCAATAGTATATCAAAAGTCAATCAGTTCTATATCAGTTGTATAATAGTAAATTATTATTTTACCTGCTTTAACCCTTTGTCTTGTATTTTTTTGATCAATTAAAAATTAGTAGGTATTGGCGTGCATGGAAAATGAGAAAAAAATTTGATACTTATTGAAAATGAGAAATAAAACTTGAAATGAACGTCAATGTGAATGTCAATGGTGATTTTTGAAATTACTATGAATGAGAAATCAATTAGAAATTAGAAGTAAATAGAAACTTAGGGTTTTTTTGTATATCAATAATATATCAGTGATATATCAAGTATACATTGTACATATATCAATAGTACAATTAAGTTTTATTTAAAGTTTTAAAGATCAAAATGAAAGCAGCAACAATGTCATTCTTAAAAGGTTTAAATATCATTCTTGGGTATCAATATCAACATCAAATCAGCAGCAAAGTCCTTCAACCAAAAACTTAAAGGTTTAAACATCAAACCGAACCAGTAGCATAAACTAAAAGTAGACTAACAATGTCATTCTTAAAATTCTATAAAAGAAGAATTAAAGTTCCAGAAGCATAAGTTCCAACAGTCTAGAAAATCGTAAGTTTCATTTTTGTATAATCTTTAGGTAAAATCTTGGGACATCAATCTTCGTTCTTAGTGATTGTCGTGTTTTCGAAGATACTATCTTTGAAGATTTCCGTTTTTCCATAGACAACAGTTTTGGCTTTAGTTTCTGTTGTCTTTTGGGACGAACGACATCAACATTTTCGACGATGTTTTTTATTTTATTTTTCGTGTTTGTACCATTGCTTTTATCTGAAAAAAAAAATTTATTTCATATATTAGTAGTGTATCATAAAACATATATTAGAGGTAATATGTTCTAAATAATTGGTAGATATCATAGTTATATAAGAAGTACATCAATTTCACATCATATGTATATCAAACATATATCACATATATATCAAGAGTATATAGGTTAATCATAGTTATATCAGAAGTAAATCAATAGTATACAAGAAGTCAATCGGTTCTATATCACCTATAGTAGTAGATATCATAGTTATATCAGAAGTAAATCAATTTCATATCATATGTATATCAAACATATATCACATATATATGAGGAGTATATCTGTCAATCATAGTTATATCATAAGTAAATCAATAGTATATCAAAAGTCAATCAGTTCTATATCACCTATAGTAGTATATATCATAGTTATATTAAAAGTAAATCAATTTCATGTCAAATATATATGAAACACATATCACATATATATCAGGAGTATATCTGTCAATCATAGTTATATCAGGAGTCTGTCAGTCATAGTTATATCATAAGTAAATAAATAGTATATCAGAAGTCAATCAATTATATGTCACATATAGTAGTAGATATCATAGTTATATTAGAAGTAAATCAATTTCATACCATATGTATATCAAACATATATCACATATATATCAGGAGTATATCTGTCAATTATTAGTATATCAGAAGTCAATCAGAAGTAATTTATTGTTGGTTCGGGCCTGTAGGATATATTTGTAATTTAGAACGTGGGCCTCCAATTTTTTGCAAAAGAAATTCTATATTTGAAAAACCCAAACCTTATTGTTATTTTGCTTATTTTCCTAACTTTTTTTGCCATATCTCAAGTTGCCCCTTAAAAGAAATTGAAAAACATGACCGATTTATCGGTCTCTTGAAACAGACTAAAAAAAGTTTCTATAACTCGTGTTCTTAGGGGCCATGGTAACGATGGGGAGAGAATTTTGGTTAACGGCATGCTGGAATTTGGAATTGGAGAATTTGTTGCGGGAATTGGGAAGATCATACAGGGCAACAATTTTCTATATACTGCAAGAAAGGGGAAGGATAAACACAAGTTCTCTATGAGAGAGTGGAGAGGAAAATCCAGGAAGAGAGAGTAGAAAAAAGAAAAGAGAATAAAAATAAATTTATCTTTTCTTTTGTTTAAAAAAAATGTAAGAGTTTAATTTTTTAAAATTGAAAGTTTAAGGTACAATTTTTTTCACTTTGTTAAAGTTTGAGGGTTGAAATTTTAGGTTTGAAAGTTTATGGGTGCAATTTTTTCATTCGTAAAGGTTTAAAGGTTTAAGTTTTACAATTGAAAGTTTGAGGGTGTAATTGTAACGATCATCATACTTTATGGGTGGTTTG